TGTAAATAAAAAGTTATAACTTTAAAAATAAAATTACAAATATTAAAATTTAAACTTCAAATTTACTAAATATCATCTATTAAAATAACCGCACCAAAAACCTGCACTAAACTTCAGATTCATTAGTAAATCTAAATTTCCCTCCTATTTGAGTCGACCCTTAAACTTGCGTTTATTATTATTATTATTATTATTTTTTTGTAGTTAACAGTACCGTTCTTAACGATTCAGAAAACTGGAACGGCCAATTATTTGGTGTATGGGTTCAGCTCTGGCGCATGAAATCATGCACCACCCAAAATAATTAAGCAATTGTTCCCATTTGTGCTACAATGAAATTTATGTCCCAATAATTCTTTTAAAACATATATGGAACGTAAAATGAACAAGCAGCTACATTTTTAACTTACATTGCTCCTAGGTAGACACAAGATTTTTCTACATTGGATTGCTTTTCATCTTCCATTGAATATGCCACTGAAAACTTGGCTATTCCCTCCTAGTGATGCCTCCCACTCTACTGAGCACATCACGATTTGAGAAAGTGTTACAACAACTTCCCTCATTTCTGGTCTGTTCACTGCCTCCTCACTCAAGCACCACTTAGCTAGTTCGGCCATCTGCAAACAAGGAGGGCAAATTCTCCAGTTTTTCAAGTCAGGAAAAATGGCATGGCTGATGACACAAGAAGATTTTATATGATTGTGGAGGAAACCAGGCTACCTTGTATACTTCCTCCATGGGATAGCTGCTTTTGAGATTTCTATCTATCACTTCTTCTAAAGCAGATTCGGAGTTTTCTTTTTCAAAAATCTTATTAAACTGACAAAGATGAAAATTGAAAAATTATTGAGCTTGGTCAGCACAACCAGAATTGAATGAAGCAAACATGTTTGTGCCTGTGAAATATTGCTCGGTGGAATGAGCCGCACACGTTATCATGAAGAAGGAGTGCTAAAAATAATTTCTACAATGTAATTACGCATGGCAGAAAACGTCTCTATATGTACAAATGCCATTTATTCTAGCAGACCTCAGCCTAGCCTGTGAGAACAGTTTTTCAATCTTAATCCCTATAATTTTCCACCTGCTTAAGTTTCTCAAACATGTGAATCAATTTACTTACCACTGTAATTAGTGATTGCATTTTGTTTGGTTCCCGGTTGTCACGAACCAGGGCACGTTGACCTGTTATCAGCTCCGCCAGGACCACCCCGAATGCAAACACATCTGTTTTGGGAGTAATTTGCAGCTCCATCACCGATCTTTCCAGTAAAAAATATCAAAAGTCATTCTGGGAACACAATTACGGTGGTGTGCGAGTGGAAAATTGCAGTGTAGATTTTCTTCCAATAAAAAGCTCCTTGGATGAAAATTTTATACGAAATAAAACATTAGTGATTATAGTAAGTATACTTACTCAGGGGGGAGGTAGCCTGGTGTTCCAACCAGTCGTGTAGCTATAATTTCTTCTTCATTTGTTCGCTCAACAAGCTTTGCTAATCCAAAATCTGCAACCTAATTGAATTGTTTTCCAGTTACTCCTAGGAGGATTAAGACTTATATAAACAACAAAAAGTTCAACAAAATTACAAAAGCAGCAACATAATGCAAACGAGCTAATATTAATACCTTTGCTCGCAGCCCCTTATCGAGTAGAATGTTACTGGTCTTTATATCCCTGTGCACATACCGTGATTTTGTGTGGTCATGAATGTATTCAATGCCTTTTGCAGAATCAAGTGCAATTTGTGCTCTTGCGGTCCAAGAGAGTGGCCGGTGACCTTTCAGTAACGGATCATGGAGATGATCATTGAGTGATCCATTCTGCACATACTCATAAACCAAGTAGAGGTGGTCATCTCCACTAGCAAATCCCAAGAGCTCAACCTGTGAAACATGGGTTTCCCTTGCCGTTAGCAAACATAATGCAACTTTTACTCCTTTCTGACACCAACAAGAGTTATTGTTTTTACATGGTTGTTAACTTACCACATTTATGTGATGGATCTTGCATAAGACCTTGAGTTCAGCAAAGAACTCTTTGGATTTGTTAGATTTCATCTTCTTTATAGCAACCTCCTGTAGATCAAAAAGGCAAGTCCATTCGTTAAAACGTCTTGGCTAAAGCATCATCAAGGACAAGTAGAAATATCAGCAAAGAAAGCCAGTACCTGCCCTCCTAGTATTCCAAGGTACACACATCCATATCCCCCAGATCCAATTTTCTTAGTTTCATCAAAATTACAAGTAGCCTCTTCAACCTCCTCCAGACTATATATTACTGGTCTTTCTGATTCGAAAGCTGTAACATCTGTATATGAAAATGCAGTGCAAATGAGTTAATTATTTTTCTTCCTCTCCTAGAATGGATTATTCTGGTCTTTACTAAAACCAAATAAAATACAACTAGTTTCGGTATTTTCTGTATTTTTAACTCTCTATCCATATTTTAATCTTCCTGACCTTGTATGTTTTCCTTGCATAGAAACTGGTTCTGCAATGAAAATGCTCTGGCACTCATGCATTTGGATACAGGTTTTGGATCTTCCTCGCTCATTTGTTGTGCTTTTTTTCTCCATATGAGAATGATCAGCAACGCAATCGTTGAAAATAGCGTAATTGCCGATAATATGACAACAAAAATTGTCCATTTCTCTCTTCTCCCTTTTAGTTGAAAAACAAGGAAATGGATTAGTACAAAACAAAGGACATTTGGATACAATTGTCTCAAGCTTCACTAAAACAATACTAGTGGTACACTTTGTAGAGTTAGAAGAGCTATTGGCAACATATTATTGGAAATCTATCCTAGCATTTACATATAAGAATTGAAAAGGTGCAATGAAATGATTGAAACAGTTCTCACGAAAGTTTCTCAGGATGAAAGATATTTTTCCAAGGAAATAAAAATAAGGTTGTATTCCAACCGATTGGAAATCTAACAGGTACTCCTCTAACAATAAACTCTATGCTATTGCTTTGCTTTTTCTTATAACTATGAAGCTGAAAATGTCAAACAAATGAAATGAAGTATGGAGTTGAGTTCTGATACTACTTACTTCTCTTGGGCGCTGGAATTCGATCATTTTCCATTGGCACATATAGCACCCAGCCGGCAAATATGACATTCGGGTCTTGAGTCAGTTTGCTGTTCAAGCTCATTATATCATTTATGCTAGCCGACAGCCGAGTAGCAATACCAGATAATACATCACCTAGCTGAACTGTATATGTAACTATGGTTTCAGACTGACTTTCTAAGCATCCGCATAACAGATGCATGGATACTTTGTTTCCTGTAATAAAGTACCTTTCTTCTTCTCCAACGTCAAAAGCTTGTCCACTGTAAATATGAGCTGAAACTTCCGCAAATGTGTCATTTTCTTGCACTGTATAGGATGCATCATAGAAGTATTCTTTGGTGCCATTACCGATACGTTCACAAGAACAAGGGACAGGTATAAGGTAATCCTGGTTATTTCCATTGGAAATGGGGCGGAAAGTAGAAGAGTCAACGGAGTAATAGGAGGCAATTTGCTCTTTCTGGAGACCTGTGTTGATGTGGTATAACAAGGCATCACATTTCTTGATGTCTTGTGAGCAAGCAAAAGGATACATAGAGACATCGGCTGCACAAATTCTAGCAAGTATAGTTACCAAGAATGGGAGGGTGAGAGGGGTATGGAGATGATGGGAAGCCATGGTTATGAGCATGGGAAATTATTTTTCCAATGAAAGAGAAACAGGGGATTAAATGAAAAATGGAAATGCCGGAAATGATGCTCTTTGTTTCTCTTTGTCTTTACATGTGTGCTATCTAGTTGGGTATAGTTTGACAGTTTCCAGATGGAATGCCCGCTTTTCTTATACATAAAAGAGATTTAAAGATTCTTTAGAAACGATAAAACCTCTTTGCAAACACACAATATGGGATGTTGTCACTTGTCATTGCTTTATCTTTAGCGGAATCTCTTCGATGCTTACAATATAAGTAATATTGATAAACACTTCAGGCCATGGCTCATCAAAGGCGGGGAGCAAGCTACCGCAACAAAGAATCTAACTCATGTACGTGGCTTAAATATTGCATACAGTAAATCTGTGATATGTAGTGGCATTTCCTGCATTTGGTTCAATTCGAATTTTAGTTTTTTATAAAACGCCAAACGGCTACATATATATTAAACTAATAAGCTGAGGATTATATTTTTTATTAATGCTGTTAATTATTTGTTAGACATGACTGTTTTTTTACCTAAGCTAAGAGAAACTGAGTTGGGTTACCTTGGTTACCTCGCCTTCGTGGCAAGGTTGGCTGTCAGGAAATGGACGATAGTCTCCTTTTCAGTTAGATAACACCGTACCAGATTGTCTCCTGGTTTGCAACAGAATATTTTATTCCGGCAATGGAGTGTTCCCAGTTGTTCAATTTATATTTTGCACGTCATATGAACTCTTGATCATCTAATACTAAGCTCGGATGGTAAGGGATTAGCAGGCAGGACGTTCTCAACCAAAAGCCTAGCCGATGAAACTCCAAAGAGGCTTTTATCATACTCACAATTGCTATTACCATTCTCTTTTAAGCTATATATAAAAAATAAATAAATTAATAAATAATAGGGAAGAAAATACCAGCATGGGTAAAACAAGAATTACTTGACAACTTGTTCTTGGCATATTCCGTCCTGTATTTAGGTTCTATCTATTCACCGCTGCCGGCAGAAAATACCATAATCTTGACAACAGTCAGATGCTTTGACAAGTGGCAATATTTTGACTCTATTAAGGTGCTATATAAGTCACAATTTTGTTTGACTGAAGAATTGCAGTTTCAGTGAAGCTTTCTGCCTTTTCTCTTAGCAATATCCTAACGTAACCCATGTGGCATTTCCATTTGACTTTTGGTTGAGGGCTTAGAACTTAGAAGTCGGCAGCCAGGTTGCACTAACTTACAAAGTTGTTCTACTTCAAAGCTATTCGCTCTTTATAACGGAATATACAATGGGTTGAAGAAATGGTAGTATCATCAATTCACAAAATAAAACAAGCATTCAATGTATGGGGTCGTCATTCGTGTTGGAAAGTCAAGCAGATTAGACAACAAAGAATCCTACAAGTGAAAGTGGGAAGAAAACTAATCAAGGGAACAGTGGAAAGCTCATAAAGACTATAGTTAATGCAATAGAAGGAATGCTCTAGCCGATAAGAAATCAGAAGGTTGGACAAAAAATTGTTTGGTTATTAACTTCTACATATATCATGACATGTTCTAGCTTGGCCAACTTTTTTATTTTATTTGGAGGTTTTTCGAAATGCTTTTAAATTAAAAATTATCAGCATGCATGTGTCATGTGTGTAGTATAGATTATGACAAAGACACCACAAAAAGTGGAGAGATCACAGCATTAAAACAATGTATAAAACCAGATTTTAAAGATAGTACTCTATTGCAGCAGCTATACATTCCTTTAAAGCAGTTAGTATTTTATTTTACTAAATCTTACTGGAATGTTAACAGGATGGATACGATTTTACCACGACTGTTTCCTGACGTAGCTGACGAAGACCACTTCATGACTTGGGGAACCAAAAACAAGTGACAGTTCTTCAGACACAACAAGCAAAGCCACAGGCAACAAGTGAATTACAGCAGCATTTCAGCTCCAACTTCACTGATGATTTTCTCCACTTTGCTCAACATATCTGTACAGGTTTTAAAAAAATTAAGCATTATGAATATATTAGCGTGTCTCGTCTCTTTTGATTGAAATGAATTGCATTTAACTAATAAAGTTTGTACGCAGTTAAGAAAAGCTTGCTACGGGATAACAAGGGGGCGAGTTTGACAACTTAAACTCCTTTTAAGAAGTCAATAAGGTTTAACGGAGACAGTTAATGTATGATCAATTCCTTCACCATGTTATGAATAAGCCAAAAGGGGACTTGCAACCGGGCACTGCCCTCTGTTCTCTGGTGACCCCTACTCTAGTAAAAGGCTAAAGGCCCCCAGCAAATTTCAAACAAAGATTGCAGGCCTTGCAAAATTTAAGTGAACTAGAAATAAAAGTTACCTTGGAAGGAAGAGTCTTCCATGTATCTCTGCGACAACACATAAATATGAATAAAGGAACAGTCTCATAGAAGATAGTAGAAAAAAATTGCATTTTCAGAAATGTTACAGGACAAGCCGTGCAGTAGTGAGGTACTCTTTGCCTTCTAAATACTGAAAACAATAACCACAATTTTGAGACATTGTTTGAATCATTACCACAATTTGGGATTTGAGATCAATTTCCTTTGATACTGTTGGTTGATTGGCAGCTACATCATTTAAGGAAAACGTGTTATCAATTCAGTTGGAGGATATCTCTTTTTATATTTAGGATAAGAAATCTACCTCGTTCAGCAGTAGAACAGCAATTACTCAGTAATGATGTGAAACTGGGGGGCAAGGCAGGAAAAATGCCTTCAGAATTGTCATTAAGCATTGCATCTTGATCAGATGACTGATGTTCAATTTCATAGCTCAAACTGGGATCCATTTGTGGAGTGTAAGAATCACCAGGCGTCATATCACTCAAATCCTGACCGGCTCTGGAAAAATTGAGCTAAATCAGTATCTCTTTGATATCCTTAAGACATTCTTTGTAGTGTTTATAGTAATTTATCTTCTGACCCATCCAAAACATATATTAAAATCTTCTGCAAGAAACAAACAGGCAAGAGAATATATTTTCAATTTCCATATCTACCTTGTAGCAAGTCCATTACAGGATATGAACTCTGATTGTGCTGAAAGCTCAGATCCAAAATCTGTGTTTAAAGGTTCAATTTCTTCACACTTCAAGATCTCCTGAAAAAGAAACAAAACAAACCACTATCATTCCAAGTATAACAAAATAGATTTAACAAAATAGATTTCTAGCAGCACAGTATAGTTATTGGTTTGATGGACCTATAAAAATAAACAATGTTGTTACAAAAAGTAAACAATTCATATAGTTGTATCTCTACGTTCAGAGCATTCATGAATGATTCTGCTTCATGAAGTGTAGAAAATCGCAAGGCAAACTTCTGGATCTGCAAAAATATGAATAGAAATCCTTGAGTTTGCCGCAAAGAAGGAAGATGCTAAACTTTGTTTAAGTCTGCCTTGAAAAGGAAAAATAACAATTCATATCCCTAAGATATCGTGGGCATGCATGCTAATAATGTTTTTGTTAAGCTAACATATCTTGATCATGTCGGAGTTTTCCTATTCTAAGCTGTCTTTGGCAGATATTATCTTCATTAAGTGGCTGTAGAATGAAAAAGAATAGCAAAGTTTGCACACCTTTTTCTCCTACATCATTATTTAATGAAATTCTCATACTTCGTAACTTGTAAATTCACTTCAATAAAACCTTTCCTATTTGGCTCTCATGAATTCAAACACTTTTAAGGTAACCACGAAATTTGTTAAGCAAACGAGAATGAGGTGATGACTGATGAAAGTTTTATAAAAAACCAGAAGAAAGTCAATATAGATGAGGATACCTTGCCAGTTTTGACTTCTCTTAGACCATGAAATGCAACTATATATATATATATATATATATATATATATATATATATAAAGTCAATATAGATGAGGATACCTTGCCAGTTTTGACTTCTCTTAGACCATGAAATGCAACTATATATATATATATATATATATATATATATATATATATAAATAACTTTGTAAAAATACGTAAAGCCAATAGTTGCTTACCTCGTCGGCAGAGTCTTTGTAGCTTACAAGCACAGCTCTGCTACCCCTAGCTGGAAATTCAGGGATGCATTGGATCTGAGGCCAGGAGAAGTGCAGCTTGGAAATGTAGTGCTCTTCCTGCACCAAGTAACAGAATCCAACTTCCTTACAACGGTAGAAGACAATTTTGGGGCAAATCCAAATGAAAGAAAAGCATGAAAATAAAGGTAAACCGCCAATTCCTTAACAAATAAATGAAACTTGAACTGATATTTTCAGATCAAGTCAAGTTAAATACAAGCCGAAACAAAACTTTTTATAGGCTTTCATCTCTACATACGTTTCTTATCCATTGAAATGAGAAATTGAAAATGAAAAGAATCCACAAGTAAATATGTATAAGATAGCATCCTTGAAACTCAGCAAAAATGATCCAAGAAAACACAGTGAAGGACGCTGACACGGAGATATAAATTCAACTTCGAGAGCAAAAAATAGAAGGACCGAAAGCAATTACTATCATGCTGGCTATTTCCATAAGTAATCAGCGGCAACACGCGCCACCGAACCTGGATTCGTTCGTATGTTCTTAACAGTTATTTGTTACTGGTAAAATGGAAATTAATTTTCCTCAGTATTTTCACGATCAACCAAAAAGAATTCATAAACTGCTGACGAGATTGATCAAATAAATCAAATTAAAGTTTGCCAGATCCTAAATCAATCGAAATTATGATCTATAAGACTCCATAACGAACAACTCACGAGAATCTTGCCGCTTAAACAAACGGCGAGGATCGTTTCGGGGCTGGAGAGATCATTGATTATCTGCAGAGAAGCGACTGGGAAAGAAGTAGCGATCCAGTTGCCTCCAGCCCGGCGATATAGTTGGAGAGGTACGAGAGAGGGACACGAGGAAGGGCGAGATGGATAGGTGATGAAGCGGGCGAATTGGACTTGCCATTGGTCTTTAATGGTGTTGACTGGCTTTTCGCTCTCTTTGCCATCGGTTTCTATTACTGCCAAAGATCCCGCCATTTTTGTCACTTTTCAAATACTTTGATTTTTTGAGTGGCGGTTTGAAAATGCGGGGTACAGGGACAGAAATATAAAGATATTTATAGGCTTATTCCCACATGAACCGGGTCGGTTATGTACCAGTTCGAAACTTCCCACAAAGCAATATTATCAAATATGTAGAAACTTAGCAACGTTCCTTTTATGTTATGATTTTCTGATTGAGGTATTTTACTAGAACAAGAAATTGTTTATAAAAAATTGTATAAAAAATATATTATATAAAAAATTGAAAAAAAATGAAATTTCTATTATATTATTTAATATTAAAATTTTTTTGTAATTTTAAATTAAATTGATATCATTTGATTCATAATCAAAATCAATTAATGTTATTAAAAATATAGATTATAATATATAATTATAAATATTTATATTTTTTTAATTTTTTAAATATATATTTTTATTTAAAAAATTACAAATATTATCCATTTAAATAAAAATAACCAACTACATAACTTCTCTTTTAAAAACCCTACATAGTGAGTGAGTGTGTCAAACTCTACATTTTTATATTTTTTTTGCCTCATTTTTTTTTCTTTTAATATTTTAAAATTATATTTTTTTAATATTTAAATGTCTTATATTTTATATTTTAAAATTTTTTTATTATTTTTGTACTTCTTACCATGAAAAATTATGAAATATCAATTTTATAAAAAACATTAATTTAATATTATATATACTAAAATTAAAAAAAATTTTATTTCGTAAAAATCAATGAAGAAAAAACATTGACAAAGGGAATAATTTCTTTTACTTGTAATGTCAACAAAACTGGAAAGAGAAATTAAAACAAAGGACAAATGAATTCATCTCAAAGTTAACGTGTCAACTCCCAAGCCTAGTATATGTCAAATAGTAATTAATGTTAATTACTTATTAATATATATTAATGGTGGAGTTTGAAAATTGTACTGGATTTTTTATACTAGTCACATTTTTTTTTATTATTTATGTTAATTATAGTTCTGCTATACATCCATGACACAGTAATTTTTTAATTAAGGTCAAATGATGTCACACGTTCTTATATTTTAAGAAAATTTAAAAATTAATCATTATATTATAATTTATATAAATTTAATCTTCATATTAATTTTACTCTAATTATTAATCTTTTAAATTTTTTATAATAAAAAATGCTAATATGGTCATTAATAATGCTAAAGTGATTTTAACTTATTAATGTGATAATTTGAATAAATGAAATTAGTTATTAAATTATGTAAATAATTTTTATATTCTTTCAAAATTTAAAATTTAATTATTATAGTTGTAAAAAAATTAAAATTTAGTCCTTTTAATATAAAAAATATTTTAAATTTTTATAAATGTTTTTGTTTTTAAAAAATATTAAATTTATTTTTAATATTTTAATATTATTTTTTGAAAGTTTTATATTTTTTCAAAATTTAATATTTTTATTTAAACAAAATATTTGATTTTATTATTTTAAATATTTGGAATTTTTATAAAATTTTTCATATATTTTAATTTTTTTGTTTTCATTAAATTTATAATATTTTATATTTCAAAAAAGAGTTTATAAATTTTAAAAAAAATTTACATGTTTTTTATCTTATTTAAGTGAACAATAAATCGAAATCAGAAATTTTTCGTGTTTCGCTAGTTTTCTGTTTTTTCTAAATTTTTATGCTTTTTCTTTTCAAATATATTAAACAAAATAAATTTAAAAGATTCGTCTCTATTTTATAAATTATTCATTTATTTATTTTTTATTTAAATATTAAAAATATATAGACAAATTTTTTAAAATGAAAAATTAAAAAATATATAAAATTTTATTAAAAAATTAAATTTTTCATTAAATAAATTGTTAAATTTTGAAAAAATAGAAAATTCAAAAAATAATTTTTATTTAAAAATTAAAATATTGAAAATATTAAATTTAATATTTTAAAAAATTATAAAATTTCTAAAAAAATTCAAAATATTAAAATTTTCTAAAAATTTTCTAAATTTCTAAATACTAAAAAAATTAAGAATATAAAAACTTTCAAAAATGAAATTAAAAAATACTGAAAAAAATAAGTTTAGTATTTTTTTCAAATTAGAAAATTTTTAAAAATTTTAAACTGTATTTTTTATTGAAAGAATTAAATTTTTATTTTTATATTAAAATAACTAAATTTTAAATTTCGTACTAGTACAATGATTAAATTTTAAATTTCGTATAAATATAAAAATTATTTATATAATTTAATAATTAATTTCATCCATTTAATTATTATGTTAACAAATCAATATCATATTAGTAAAATCAATATCATATTAATAAAATTAATATTTATATCATGAAATCAATATTTATATACAAATTATTAAATCAAAATAATACAAATATTAAATTTATATGAATTGTAATATAAATTTAAATTTAAATTTTTTACAAAATACAAACACCTCTGAACATAATTTGACATTTATTTAAATATGTTAATTTAACAATTAATTAATGCGATTAATTTCTCATTATAAATCGCAAAAAATCATAACCCATGCAACCCAATCAATCAATTTCAATTTCTCAATTTCTATTATTCCTATTCTTTCTGACTTTAAATAACTAAAATAAGAATGGCGTGGATGCGCCAGCTAGCCACCACGAAACCACAACTTTCAATTGCCCACTTGGCCGCTTGATGGATAACTTATAACCACCTTTCTTTCCTTCTTTCTTCCAGAAATTGTAAATTCTTTACTATTACTATTTGTTCCTTTTAAAAATGCTCCGTAGCGACTGCAACCGGCTGTCAATGCTTTTTGAAAAGGCATCTGATTAGATGGTAAAATCGATTTATGTAAAATTAAAAATAATAATTATAATAAAATTAAATATTATAATAATAAAATATATATTTAAAGGTAAAAATAATGTTAACAGTGAAATAAATTAGAATAAGAAAAAATAATTATTAAAAATATTAAATTAAAATTATATATAATAAAAATTTTAAATTATTTAATATTTATAAAATTAGTAAATATATTATTTATTATTTATTATATTAAAATAATAAAATTATTTTATAGTTTTTAAATAAGAAATTTAAATTGAAAAAAATTAAAAATAAAAAATTATCAATGATATATTTGTCTTTATAGTATAACTTAAAGGAAAGCAAAAAAGGATGGCAGGGGGCTTTTAGCCAGTAGACCAAAAATGGTCGGTGGCCGAACGGAGGAAAAATCAAGGATTCGTGTCGCGTTTTGAATGCCCAAACGACTATCCAGTAGCTTTTTGCTGATTTTTTTAATATAATTGCGTACATTCACACCAAGCCGAAATTCATTTGCTTAACAAGACAAACTAAAAAAGCAACGGCCAAAAATATCATCAAAAATTCAAAATGCGAGCTCTGCTGACACCAGAACCTTTTTTATTTTTTCTTTTCTCTTCAATCAACCCTATCTCTCGCAATACTAATACATCCCAAATTCGAACCTCGCTGTATTTCTTGTGTTCATACTTCTTAACAAAATAAGATTACATAATGTAAAAATCAACATCTATTAAAAGTTATTTGTGTTATCATGTTTATCAATAATATTTTTAAGTTTTTTTTGAGGAATTATTATTTTAATAACCTCATATATATAAATAGACTTTCAAATAAAGTTTTCAATTTTAAAAAATCATTAAACATGTTACTTGAGTCATATCTATAAACTAAATTATTTACTTCTTTACTCTCAAAGTGTTTGGTTGTACGTATTTGTTCATAACAAAAATCTATCTTATGGAAAACTACTTTGAACTATAAAATGTATGTTTATTGAGTACTCTCCAACTCAAAAGAGAAATAAATGCTATTATCCGTCCGCAAAATAGACATCTATCTTATTAGATGTCACATTATTTGAAATCAATCTTTTTACCCAAAACCAACTCTTCAAATGAAGACAATAGGTGCTTTAGGATTTTTTTGTTCCTCTTGCTATTCCTATTGTGTCACTAATAGAAACTAAATTAGAAATAAAGAAAGATTCATTTACGTTTAATCCTCAACAAAAGACAGAGCTCTATGTTTATTCATAACATAAACCCTTACCTTAAGAAGTATAGACTTTTGTGCCCCAATCGCATTGTCAAGAATCTAATCCACAAGTAAATCCTAAATAAAAAAATGTTAGGTCTACAGCACCATCACCAGTGAACATTCCACTTGATGATTTGGACATACCTATAGCACTAAAAAAAGATGTAAAATCATGCACTCAACACCCACTGTCCAATTATCTATCCTATAACTATTTGTTTACAGCATTTTGTACACTGGTTGAAAAGATTGAAGTATCTAAAATCCCACAAACTATGGAATAAGCCTTAAAAATTCTAGAATAAAAAGTTACAGTACTTAAAAAGATGAGTGCACTGAAAATAAACAAGACTTGGGATATTGTAGAGTTACTTAGAGAAAAACGCCAGTTGGATGTCAATAGGTGTTTGGGATGCTATAGAGTTACCTAGAGGAAAAACACCAGTTGGATGTCAATGGGTGTTTAATATTAAGTACAATTCAGATTATGAAATAGAAAAACAAAAGGCCTACCTAGTTACAAAGGGTTTTACTCAAACTTTTAGAGTAGACTACACAGAAACCTTTGCTCCAATTGCTAAATTAAATACTATATGGGTACTGTTTTCACTAACAGCTAATATTGACTGATCATTATGCCAAAATGGATGTAAAGAATGCCTTTCTTAATAGGGAGTTGGTTGAAGAAGTTTATATGGATTTGCCTCCTGGGTTTGAAGGGGAAAACAATGATATGAAGTTATACAAACTAAGAAAATCTCTTTATGGTTTAAATTAGTCACTAAAGGCCTAGTTTGATCACTTTGCAAAGTCAATAAGGAGACATAGATTTAGTTAGGGACAAACTGATCACACTTTTTTTCAAACACTCAAAACATGGCAAAAAAATTATTTTAATTGTTTATGTCGATGATATTATACTGACAGGTGATGATATTAAAG